TTTGACCCGGCAGTATCTGTTGAGATCGGAATTGAAACGAAATTTCTGCATACGATAGGAACGGCAGTGGAGCTCCTGCATGACATTCTTCCATCGCGATAACTTCTGTAAGCCGTGCCCCTTGACTTCCTTTGATGGGTCACCCGGAATCCCGACCGATTGGCAGACGGACTATTTTAATGGTTCTATCTTCGGAAACACTCTACCTTTCGTTCTTTCCTGGTTTGTCTCTAAATCAAGCTTTTTTTTCTGTATCGCTTAATAGCCTCCTATACGGTTATTACAAAATTAATTAAATTAATAACAGGTAATTTGGATTTGATATATTATTTCTACCTTGAAAATACCTGAATTTCGGCGCCAATAATTTTGGGACACCCTGTACAATGACATTAGGTGCGGATGTACCCATCAGACCTGGAACCAGTTACCGACCCAGGTAGTAAGGAAAGCTTGATTGGCCTAGGCTGTCGTCAATCCAAGATTCGAATCCGTAGCCATGCGTGTGTGATAGTGCGCCACTTGGCAATACACCATCTCTGCACCTGCTTACAGTATATCCGGAAAATACACTCGCTGATTTTACTATTCTCAATATGCTAAGGATGACAAATTTAAACGTACCTCCATTATTAGCTTAGGTGTATGGTGTGGTTATATTGAAAAATTTAGTGAACGAAGGGATCGTGACGATAGAAGAGATCGTGATGAAAGGAGGGATCGCGATGATAGAAGAGATCGCGATGATAGAAGAGATCGCGATGATAGGATAAGACGATGGGACAAGCCTAACAACTTGCCGGTGAATTTTCATTTATTTTTTTTAGCTTTTTGAAAAGATTGTTGAAAAATAAGCAATTTAATGTTTAAAGATGTTAAGTTTTGGAAACAGTTCCACTGAACTGAAGTAACGTTCACTGTGGATGCAGTCCAGACATAACTGATAAGATCGCGAGCAAAAATTTGAAAATATAGAGTTAGTCTGTAGGGACTCAAAGTCGTGTAATTTCATGTTTACTGTTAGATTCTTCTTATTCACTTCTCCCAGATTTGTTCGAAAATATCAGTGTTCTGTGTTTGTTCTTCTAGTTTCTCTTTTTCTACCATCTTGCGAGTATAAAAACGGGGTGCAGGTAGTGACCATATTTCCTCAAAGCTCCAACGTTAACATAGTTCTACCATCTTGCGAGAATAAAAACGGTGGTGGAGGCAGTGAACACATTTCCCCAAAGCTTCAACGTTAACATAGATTCTTGAATCTTCGTGAGCTGTCCTTACTTAAGTTGAACCTTATGTACAACCAAGTTGTTTCAAGTCACATTCTCAACTGACACTATTTGAAGGAGTGGACTACCCTCCATTCAAGAAGCTCTTTACATATCCCGCCCCAGCATTCTGAAACTGCATGAAAATTCCTGGCTTGTCCTCTCTTAATGGGATCGAGTAGGTCATATTCACAAAACTGAGCCATATCTGCAAAGACAGTCGGTTAACTCATACTCATAGTTGAGGCTGGCCAGGCCAGGTCAAAGGACTAGGCATTACCGATTAAGGAGAGGTATATGACGTGGAATGAAATTAGACGTAACGTAAAGGCCCACGCTCCTCTAAGTACAGTGGGAATTCGAACCTTCCTATTCCTAACACGCGATCGGGTAGTAGACACAATTTTCGGGGAGAAGTACTCACACCCAAATACCACTTCAGTTTATTGTTGGGCCAAAAACCCGGCTGGGGGGTAACACTAATTCAAAATATGGGTGCATTTCCGGGGATAGTTCATTTAATGAGGGAATGATGTAATATTTGTTATGAAGGATTCAATCATGACAATCAGAGCTGCCTGAAGAACAAATTCAATTCCTTTAGCGGCATTTTCTTTTGGGTTTTCGTTCCTAGGCCGCAGGGTTACTCGCCTTGCTGAAGCCGCTTCCATCTTTGCCCATAAAGCCGGAAGATTGTAAAGGTGACGCGGCCATAGTTTCCTGCTGCATGAACAAAAAAGTACCTTCCGATTGTTTCGATCTTACTCAGCCGGCTTTACGGATAGATTTTGCAGTAATTCCTACCGGCCCATTGGTTATTTTCCATAGTCAAAGTCCTCAAGTATCTGTTGGTCAGCATTAGTTTGTGCGTCTCTTCCTCGGACATAAAGTTCTTGAAAAGTTTAGCAAAATTTCAACAGCCAACATACTTCTCATATTACGTGAAGACGCAAGTTTTTGTGACCATTTTGCAGAAATTCCGTTATCAGACGAGTATATCTAAATATATAAATTAGATGGGCAAGAGTAAGAAAATCTCACTGTTCGGAATTTCTAGCCTCGTTAGAGTGTTGTCCCTATGCATTTCTAGAGGCCCGAAAATAGTGCCAAGCTGTTCTATACAAGTGCTGTAATGGTTTTTTTGGAAGCAGTGATCTATGTTTATCTCTTCTACAACAATTTTAGTTGAGTGATTTTAGAAGTCTGCTCCAGTACCAATTCCAGTGGAGGTACCCGCTCCAGTTTTGCCGCAAGCTATTGGTGCATGCAAGGAAAAGCCCTCGGAAAACTCAAAGCTATTTCATATCTTAGCCGGAGCTAGATGTAAGATATTATATTGCTGTACTCTACGAAATAGCAACGGTTATCGGGTACCGCTCGACTTTGACTTCTTCAATTCAACAAGAACTATCACATTAGCGCTATCATTCATAAAAAACATTTTTTAAATAACAGTAAGAGATTTAGTCTTTTTTAGTGCTACAATCTCAACGTGATAAGAAGGCCGCTGGGCATGACCAAATCGCGAATGTTAAAACGGAGCCGCCCGACGTGCCTCGAAACGTGTCACGACCAAACGTAGAAGCAGTAAGTTGCAGAGTTATTTTATTCCTGAGTATTCACTGTAAAAAGGAAGAACATGATTTGCAGAACACAATGACTCCTTTGCGGCATTCCTCAGATGAACGCGCACCAACCATCATACCCACGACTGCACAGCCAAATAGTTCCGGCACGACCACGACTCTGCCCACCACGACTACTCAAACAAGCGCCACGGTACTTGGAAGCGCGTTCGGACTATCCAATGATGTTATACAGCAGCTACTAAAAAAATCTGCAATGTCGCGCCTTCCTGAGGTAAAGTTTGAAGCGAGCCCCTCGTTGCCGCAGACATCCATGCCAGACGCACCAGCTTCACCCGATCCGGAATATCCGGATTCACCAGATGCACCAGCATCACCTGATCCAGAGGATCGCGGTCCAACTGAATCTGGTAACAACCCGAAGCCCCATTCCGTAAGTTCAGTAGATTTCGTTAGAAGATCAAAAGAGTCGCGAGACTGTTCCCTAAATAAAGTTATCTTGTTGCAGGAGATCCCACTTGACTGTTGGCAACCGACTGAGGACAAGCGTACTGAACCCTTAGGAACTGGCATAATCACTATGCGTGCTCCCAGAAAACCAAAACGTCCAAAAGATCATGATGGAGCTATTGCTGTAAGTGAAGCGATAAGGTTGCTAGGAATTGAATCATTTTATTACATGGGCACAAACTCATATAGAACCAAGTGGCTGCTTTAATAGTCCACGATTTGGTCCGCGACCAGTCGCGCGACTGGTCGCGGGCCAAATCGTGGACTATGAAAGCAGCCACTGAAGAGCACAGTCAAAGAACACAAAAAACGCATAATCATATAATCAAAGAGTTCCCGCAACGGTTCATTGAGCTATTGATTGGTAACTGACTTTTGCATTTGGAACTGTTTCCTTTTCAATAACGCACTTGTGTAATGTGAACTAATATTAGGATGAGTCATAAGTCCTCGGACAAAGTATAGCGATGACTTCTAGAGATCATTATCGGGAAAGAGGAGACGAAAATGGACGCGCGTGGCATTGTTAGATCCTGCAACCATGCCCCATGATTTCAAGCCGTCGCAACTCCACATCCGCAACACAATTCTATTTCTTTTTTTATTTGTCCATGAACCCGCGGAGATCGATAGACGTATGAAGGAAGTTTACAAGAAGGTTGCTCCTGCTAGATGTACAATTTACAAGTGGCACACGAAGTTCACGTCGGACGACCATTCCATCGAAAATGAAGTCTGGGACGCTCAATGGTGTTGGATTTGGACGTGCTGCGAAGCCAGGTGGAGGCCGATCCGTATCGAACTACTCGTGACAGTCCTTGGGGAGTCAGTCCACAATTATTCGTGATTGAAGTCAATCGGAAGGTGCGGAAGCTCGGTCGATGAGTGCCTCATGCTTTGAAGCAGTATGACTGGACCTCCGCGCCGACATATCACGTTCTCTCCTCACGCTCAAGCGCAGGAAACAGTCAGGTTTGCTTGTCAGCACTTATTTGGAAGAGCTTTTTATACTCTATCTAACGACGCTTCGCGCGTCCATTTTCATCACCTCTTTCCCGAGTTATGATCTCTAGAAGTCATCACTATCACATGGTCCGAGTACTTATGACTAAACCTAATAAATAAATAACTAATTTAAAATCTGAGCATCATATTAAGCTACGGAAGTAGCATAAGACATGGCTAGGGTGTCACATACTTTTCCAATATTGTTTTGAAGTAAATAATTCAGTTGGCAATTAAATTCCTAAATAGTCTGTCGAATTCTAATGAGGCATCGCCGAATTCTCAGTCTAACAGGAAAGTTGTGCCTATATTTTGTCTGGCCCCATCGAAGGAAATTTTGCGGGGTCGTCCTCTTGTGTTTATATTCATGAATACCAAAGAACTACTAGGCTCGTAGTACCTTAAGGTGGTCTCTGAAGGTACAATTTTAAGGTATAATCTTGAAGTACCCGGTTTTCAAGGAATAATGAAACTAATGATCCAGAATAGTCCAAAGGTAAGGAGAAAACGTGAAACGACGTATCTAGAGAGATGTAAGGCTTCAGAAAAGGACTGAAATCGTTGGTTGTACGAGAATGTGACCGCAAAACATGCATGAAAAGAGTATTCGGTGTCATTGCGCACGGTAACTATAAAAGGATAAGGATAAAGTTTTTGGCGTTAATCAATCCCGTCTGAGGGATGCGCCCCCGCACTCGACTTCCATTCAGAATCGTAGTGGCGTAATGAGTGCGTATGTGGCCTATACAATGACTTGCGGTGGCCAGCCGATGTACAAGTCAGTGCTTTTTATCCTCCCAGACGAGTCTGGTACCAATTCACCGACCCCGGAGGGATGGAAGGCTTGGTTGGCCTAGGCGGGCACCAATCCGGGACTCGAACCCCTGACCGTGCGTGTGATATAGTGCGCCACTTGCCACTACACCACCTCCGCCCTACGGTAACTATAGTAAGCCAAAAATGTTCAAAATTGTTATCCACTCAGTTGTATTCTGAGATAGGTGGTTTTTTTCTGCGCCAATCTAATTGACTGCTACTTATTCACAAGGAGCAGCTGTGGTATGGGATATTAATCTAAAATATAATAACTTACGCTACGGCGTTCAGCTGATTGTTTTTTCACCAAAGTTGTTTCAATGCGAACAGTGGTGCCTGGCAATTAAATTTCATAGCCAGCCCAACGGGGTGTGACATCTACACGATACAATCGCTGTCCCTTTATTATCCGAGTACGTTTTTCGAACTTATAACTGCAGGTACGGCATAAGGGTGGCTCCCGAGTCCAGCATCGAAGGGAAAAGTTTCGGACACCATTTTAATCACGAACTGTGCCTTCAAAGCATTATCGGAGTCAATCTTATCCTCCGTAGGGATAGATTCTGTAACTTGGTGTTAGCATTCCGTGCTAATTTACTGGGTATTTGATAACGTTTGAACGGCATCACTGTCAAGGAAAAGAGTTGTTTAATTTTCATTTTTTTTCAGCAGTTGATTATTTTCAGAATGCTGGTGGCACTGACACTGTCATGGATTCGTGGATCAAAGCACTTGAGCAAAAAGGTGACGTAGCGTCAAATTCGAAACGGGTTAGTGATCATCCAAAAATTGAAGATTGTTCCTTGATAATTCAAGGTTTTTAGAGTGAATCTGCCCTTATTGGCTTGTACCGATTTAGCTCCCACGTTGCTACCCTAAAAATCACTTCTTTTATATTAAAGGCACAGTTCTCGATAATTTTGAGGTACCCGTTTTTATTCGAACAACGGAAGTATACATTGGGAATAGTTCATCGGTGGTTAAAAGAGCGAGAGAATTCGCCGATTCTGAGAAAAATATGGCTCCTCAAAAGTAGGAAAATTAGAGGTTGGACGAGATTGCCATGACGGAAATAACAAGGAAGGGGTATTTGGACGAGATTTCAGTTATTGCAATTGCACAAAGAGCTGACTACATCAAGCCAGAACTGTAAAGAATGTCGTTCACTGTCGCTATGGGTCATGACAAGTTGTTTGAACTTCCTACATGGGCTCTTTTGTGATCGGTGCAGCCTCTATAATGCCGGTGAAGCTCGTCCGAGGATACTCACGGGCCAATCATTGAGCCTTTATAACTCCCTAACCGTTTTCCAACCTAGAAGTGCCAGATACGGTATGCGCGATGGCAACATTTTTATCGTGGACTGTGCCTTTAATTTGCTGAAGTTTTTCATGTAAAATGAAGGTTATCGCTTTACGGGAGCATGTGTACAGAATCGGAGTGGTTTTCGGCTTTGACCCTTAACTTTTCATACGAGTACGAGAAGCTTTCAACTTTCAAGGATTTTCGTGCGAGCCTTGGTAAATCATTAGCCCAAGTGGTTCCTCTCTTCAAAGAAAACGATCACGGCACTATTCCTGATCAGTTGTCTTCTTCGGAAGGTTTCAAGAGTCAAACACTGTTCCATTAGTCACCTTTAGATAATGTTGTAGTTGGTTAAAAAATGAGAATATGCGCTGCCATAATGTGTACAATATCTACATGCTTTTCAAATTTGATTATTGACAAATCTTTGTATAGGAAAAGAAAACTCCCAGTTCCCGTCCTAGTGTAGATGAAGAGGAGGAAGAGGGAGAAATCCTCAGCGACGACGAACCTCAGATAGCTGCGCAACCTATCACTGTTATCGGAGCTGTGTCGCACAACATTCACGCTTCAATCGTAAGGCAAGCAGAACAACCAAAACCAGAGGTACGCTATTGCAATTTGCATTAGGTCTTATGTGCAATACATGGATGAAGTTTGTTTGAGGTAACTCGACCGCCGGCACGTGCGCCAGGTGTTCGTTCAGTTGGTGAACCAGCGATTCAAGGAATCGGTGGGGGCTACTTCCCTGGACAACCAGGGCAGCGCAGAGGTTTTCCTCCTACTGCTCAAACAAACCCTTTCGGAAGTTCCCAGTGGCCTCTTTATACAACAATCCAGCACCCATTGCAAGGTAACTACTGACAACGAAAAATACAATCTCAACATATGGTGAAGATACAATTTTTTGAATTTCTTGAAACTAGACAACAAATAGCCGGTTCTTGATAATGCTTCTAGTCGAGTCCGTGCTATTAAAAGTGAACGGCAGGAAATGTCTGAAGTAATACAGAGCGTCTCGAACTCTACGTTATCGTTCATCTTGAAAACGATGTCAATTTGTAGTTTTTCTGAAATACCAGAGCTTTCTTCAGTTTGATGTTTAGAATTTTTCGAATTGTAATTATGCAGTCCTTGTCTAGTCGAGGAAAGATATGTTTTATGATCAACTTGGTCAGCTTGTAGTTAAAGATTAGGAGTTATTGGCCAAGTATCAAGCTCTTATCTAGAATTGATATTGAGATTTTCTCCCAAGTGGATGCGGTTTTGATCAACAAACATTTGTCGGCGATCACTGCGTTTTCCGACCAACTCGAGCGCGGAGCACAGTTCAAGATGTGTTTCTTAACAGGGTTTTTTTTTTGAGCTTGTATGCAATTATATGCTGCTGCTTATTGCCACGAATATGAGCGCTGAATAAGGACACGCTCTGTAGAACGAAGTTCATCTTGGCAGTTGAGGTTGAGACGTGGACGTGAACAACACGGAGGAATTCTGCGCTTCTTTGTATTGGTCCAATTTGAATTAGATGTCAGAAGATTGAGCGGAAAATATGGGAATGTAGCCTTTCGGCAGTGGCTACCTCAATAAATCTCGATGTTATTTAGACGGTACCTTAATTGTCGCTTAATGATATCTTCTTATGAGTTCTTCTGAGTTACCGCGTTGGGTAAACCCGAACGAGTAGATTTTGCAATTGATTACATTTATTAGTCCATAATATCATTGTTAGGTGTAAATAGTGGTATATGTGTACTGTGCTCACTAACATTGTGACTACTGTATATTAAGCTGCTGTATTGTAACAGTGAATGGTTTCAAAAACTTCAAGATGTTTTTATGAATTTGAGAGAATAGCGGAAAAGTTAACAGCATTCTTGAGCATCTTGATGAAATATAGTTGACTANACTTTTTATAGGTAGTGGTTTCCAGTCTGGTCCTCCTCGACAAGAAGCTCCTGCAATAACTGTGATTGTGCCCGATTTCATGATGTTCAATCGGGCTACAATGTACTGATTACGATTTCGCTTTTCTGACATCAAGCTCAGCATAAAGTGCTTCATATTTGCAGTGCAGCAAATATGCAACGCTTTAATTTCTTACAAACGTTGTCATAATCGTGTTGTTGTTTGAAGTAGAGTAATTCTTTCTTTTTCAGGACGAGAATGGATCCAGCTGGTTTCGAATCGTTTTGTGAGCGCCTCAAAGTTATTCAAACACAGGAGAATAGAATAGTCTCTCTACAGATTCACGAAAGATTGCTCAACTATATTCGGGATATGATGTAGGCAAAGTGTCTTCGGGCTATGAGGATTAATCCGTGTAATCGGCTGCGTAATAATGTCACCGATCACCATTACTTAGTGAATCACTTCGTTCAAGAAACGTAATTGTTTTCCGAAAGGCGCACCTGTAAAGAAGGAAGTATTGAGCGATTCACGCTACGAACCCACTACGTACGTCAATAAGTAATTTCCGTAGGAAAGGTAGCATCTACATGATGATTACAACAATGATACTTGATGATCTGCAATATTGGTTCGAAATTCAATATTGCAGAACTTCAGGTTCCCTCAAGAGGACTAAGGGCATTTGAAGTTTGATCTTTGATATCGTGAAGCAGAAGTGATTAGTTCTTGGTGATGGCTTGATACTTCCGAGCCCAAATTTTCCCAGTTTCCCTGATTTTTCCTCTTTAGATGGTTCTCGCTGAGTTACTCTAAACTTCACCTGTTTGAGGTGTAATCACCGTCTTTGCCTTCCCATTTCCTTCATATGTACCCTTTAAGTGCCAGGCCGAATTCCTCATTCTTCTAGAGGATGGACTACTTAACAGCAAGCCTATCCTTAGGAGACTGGCAGTTGGCAATTTGGTTTATCTCGGTTGACTTTCAAAAGTCCGTTGATATGAACGAAGCAGGTTTGGAAATTTTCACGCACTCATGTACCTAGACCATTTTGCGGAAAAGTGAAATGCGCGTAGGGCCACGAATAGATGCATAGACTACGGTCACTGTTTCAAAAGGCGCAGTTCACGATGATTCCGAAGCCCCTTTCGGATAAACTGCTCGATGGGTGCAAAACAGTGCACCAGTGGGAAACCAAGCGAGAAAATCCTCAAAATTCGGTTTCCTAAAACTTCGGGGCTACGGGTGGGGGGACAGAAGGGTGTATGGGCGAGATTTAGGTTGTGTACAACTGCCTAAATGATTGGTCACAGGTAATATTCCACTATCATGATGAGCAAGGCATCTGACGTTCAGCTGTTTCAATTACGGCTGCTTTTGGATGTGGCCTCTAATGATTTGAGTCCCATCTAGATCTTTTCCAGCTCGGCTAAATCTGACACTGCGTTCCTGCGGGTCACTGATTCGCCCTGGGAAATCTCGGACACCACTCTTGGCGGTGGCTGCGACCTAATTATTATCGGTTTAACAAACAGTGATTTCTCTACACTGTTGTGGTTGTAAGAAGGTAAGAAGCACGTAGGCAGGGAAACTTCCATCGGGTCGTATTCACAACCGAAGATTCGGTAGTAATTCTCGCTTTGGTTTCCAACAGAAATACCAGTCGAAAGCAAAAATTTGAAGCTGTGCTTACAACCTGCTGTTTATAATATGCGATAGTTCGAACGGATTTGGCTCAGTGGTTATTTTATAGGCCATATGATGAAAAAGTTCGTTTGAGGTAACTTGTCTTTCTACCACTGTGGAGTCACTAAACAGATGATACTTATCTTATTTTTAACCGTTACTGGGACGAACGGTCGCGATCAACTCTTTGACGACAATGCGGATTTCGANGGATTTCGACGTGACGCGCCCATGGGACCACGCTCCCCTCCGTTCGCGCGCGACTGGCACCCACCGGTGGATGGCAATGTCCCAGGAGAGAATTCTTTCACTGGCTCACTGAATTTAGCATTCGCAAGAAACAAGAAGTATGGTGCACCCAAAGTTGGGTGCCAATGTCCCATGCGCCACTCATAGTGGCAGCCACCGGTGGGTGCCATCGTCGTCAAAGGGTAATGGCATCTCTCATAGGCGGTAGTTTTAGAAGCATAGGATCTCATGCTATATCTAAAAGTCCTGTGTTTAGATTTTTCGGAACCGAGTAATCATGACTTTGAAGCCACTTATAAGCGTAACACAAAATCCTCAAAGTTACCTTTAGTTGTATTATCGCCGAGTAAATGAACTACGTTTTACGTGGTCGGGTATCCAATCTATTGAGGGGTGGTAATGATAGCCTTGCCTCAACTATGATCCCTGTTTTTGCCGAGACAAGGCAGACAATCCATCCTACTTGGTTTGTTAGTCGGTAGTGGGTTCTTCTGAGAGGATTTGTTGAAAGAATGGTCCTCGCCAATTGTTTTTTTGGGCGGATTATGGCTCAAATGCCAACATGATTTTGAACGGGAGCCGTAACGGGGTTGATCGACGCAAAACGCTTTGTTATCACCTTCCTTCATTGTTCTCACTGTTCCTTATCTTGTCTGGTTAATCTACCTTACCCTGGCGGCTAAGGTACTCGTCAAGGTTTGAAATACGCTGAGCGAATGAAGCTGGTAAGGTTCTTACTTCTTGACAATGAGCTGACCCACTCGATTTAATTTGTTCATAAAAGGGTTATATATATGGAATTTTAGAATAATTTAGCTTCAGTGCCAAGGTCTCATCGGCCAACATCTCCATTCCGCTGTTATAGCTGGGAGAAAATGGCGGATAATAGAGAAGAAAATGGTTACCGGATTAGCTCAGGGTTCAGGAGGGGAGGTTCAGAGCCAGTTGACCGAAAACGTTCGTTGCGGTAGTCGCTGGGCCCAGAGAAGAAAAGAATGGTTTCTAAAATTTCGGTATCTGAATTTTTTTCAAGGAGACAGCTCGCGAGTTTTTTATACGAATGTTGGAAGTGATGAAGTGATGTTCCAGAGGGGTGGGGAATGGGAAGCAAAACGGCGAAGAAAACGCCGAAATCGGCGTATTTGGGGAAATCTAAAGCTTCAAAAAATAATAAAATTAGCGGTTTTGCGAAAATGCAGCGGCAAAAGTTGCATTGATGGGGATTCGGAAGAGCTGTTCAGGTGTGTGTAACTGCGTGCAGCTGCCCACAGTACAGTAAGCTGTCTGCTTGCAGCATGTGCGGTCCGGTGCGATTTGTGCTCCCTTTACAGAACTAACAGCGCTGTGGACTGTCCGCCTTTAGGGGCGTCGGCTAAGATTTAGGTAACCAGGAGTTTCTACTTTATGACGCTTTTCTTAGCGTCCTTTTTGTGAAGGTGTTTTACGTTGTAAAGCTGGAAATACGGCAGGGGTATCGCTCACTGGCGCATGATTCCACTTTGAAGTCCTGGTTCAACAAACCCAATGCCAGTGAAACTCATATCTCCGAGAACTGTAATTGGCTGTAATTGGTAAGATCTGTTCGACTTGAGGGTGTCGCATTGTTCCGCTCCCGGCTAACATCCCTTCATAGTTCATAGTCATATCCATTTGCTTTTGTTTTGTGCTGCGCGCTGACTTGATACATCCTTCATTTAGCGTTAGAACTTGCCTCTTCGTAGGGTTAGGTTTGTTTCTCTGTCTAGTAATCATTCTAGATTTAGATAAGATAATTGTCGTGCCATCTCACGATAATACGTGCGCGATACGATACGTGATCATAAGCGTAAGATTAGTTATGTTAAATTTTATCATCTTGGCTCAGGCGGTATTGTAAAGCGTTATTACCTAGATATCAGGTTGTGACAATTTTGCCGCACAAACTGCGTGCACCTTCGAGGCTTTCAAATCTCAACCAAAAGACAGGGTGATCGATAAAAATGGTTTCTAGAACATTAGGATAAATATGTAACCCCCAAAGGTGGGAAGCTGTCAGGTCGAAAAATGGCCTGGGTAGAGTAAGGATCCCAAAACCGGCTCTGCCGACGTACAGACCGTAAGGCGGACGAGTTCTCACGGTATTGTAGTGGTCCCACCTTTTGCACCGAGACGCACATGCAGGCAGGCAGCTGGTTATAGCCATTTCTATGCAATGGTATGCACATTTTGACAGCTCGTCCAAATGCTCTTTTCATGTAACATTTGACGGGGCATTCTCGTCCAGCCCCTAATTTATTTTTTTCCTTTGAATCTCTACGCTCAGAATACGCTGATTTTCGCGTTTTCTTCGCCTTTCTTTTCAATTCTGAATTGTCACTTCCATCTCCGCTTAAACTATCGAACTGTGCTCTTAGCTGTACCCAAATCGCTGCTTTGTCATCTACTTCGGCACTTCACCTTTCGGCTTAGTCTCTAACTGCTGCCATTTCTGCTACTGAGCTATTATAAAACCTAGTAAATTTTTGATATCATCGCCTTCATCTCTGTTCTTTCTTCCTAACACTGGCAGTCATACTTTCTCTTACTTAAATACATCCTTTTTCTAGGCTTCTCAGATGTTCGGAACGGTTCATAGAATTTTTGGTTTCAGGTCCATCTACGTCAGCGTATGCCACTGCTATGACCGAGAGAGGAGAACTCCTGTGTTTATATTAAAGGCACAGTTTACGAAAAAAAGGTTTCTGAAATCCCCATAGTCCTGAACAGGGCACAGTAAGGGGCAAGGCATTGTATGGCGTGAATGCCACACCCACAGCGGGCGAGTCTCAACGGTGTTGTAGAGGCTGCCCTATCTCAAGGGAATACCATGTAGGAAGCTCTACCAACTTTGCATGACCCATGGTGACAGTGGAAAGCAGTTTTAGACAATTTCGACTTGATGTAGACGGCTCTTTCCGCAATTGTTACGACTGAAATCTCGTCCGGATACCCCTTCCATGCCATTCCCGTCACGGTAATCTCGTACTTTGGACTAGACGGATTCTATCGCTTTCTTCGCCACCAATGCACTACACTACATCAACACTTCCTGTTTTCAACTCAAAGTGGGTACCTCAAAAATATCGTGAACTGTGCCTCAAGAAAAGACAGAACATCTCCTCTTCCGGTCGTTTCTCTCCTCTGCGTCATCAACTTTCAGTTTGTTTCGAAGGTCTATTGTTGATTTTTCACTTCAGCTTTAGACTTTTCTCTGCCTGTTCGTCTGAGATGAGCACTCTCTTTTCGAGTACACTATCCATTTTTTTTTCACGGCTTCCAGGACTTTTTAGAACAAAGTTATGAATACTTACGCTGCCCTAATATTAGTTCTTCTCACAAAAATGCCCTTTGGCTTGTTCATTTTGCGCGAGTCGAATTTCTTTTATGTAGGCACCATTCGCAAGACCCATCTGACACTGAGCTCTTCTCCTTTCCATATCAAACCTGACTTGCCGTTCGCATCCCTTGCCAAATTTAGATGCTCTGGTGCAGGAAAACAGAAATTATAAGTTTTCGGCCAAGCGCTTACGCTTAGCCCGACACACTTCGTGAGCGCCCAGTCCACCATGAGCAGAGTCCTCTTGAGTCATGCATGTTCAAATTCGAGGAGTTCGATTCACTTCCCACTTATTTCAACTTGGCTGCGTTGTTTTACTGAGACTATACTCATTTCACGCGCAGTGCTCAAACACAATCCGCACTCCTACCAAATTTGAACGCCCAGTTTCGCGTGGCTCCTGCCAAACTGTAACGCTTTGGGTTTGAGGGAGCAGGAGTTATCATTTCCGGTCAAACACACATACATACAAAAACACATCGACGCACACCGACAGGAACGCACATATACCCACATACATACACCGACACACACATGCACACCCACAAATACGCACACCGACAAACCAACAGACTGATGTGAGCGCACTACATGCAGTAGGACATTTATGGTCACCACGAACCGATGGCTACCTAAAACATCGTTTACAATGTGATTTTCTGATGTGTACTCCTGCATCGGTCAGTGTGAGTGAGGGTCAGGGTCTAATCACAATTCATCCTTTTTCATATGCTCATCAGAAGTGACTTTAATGTGAGAGAGAATCATAACAGAGTTGCTGGAACAGGTTGCAGAAGACAGAAAATAACTATTACTGACAATCACTGCTCAAATGCGTTGGAAAGATCCTCTAAACGTAGTTGTATGCCTAGTGGATCAGTTTTTCCTCTGAGTCACTCAACATTTGCCCCACACCCTTTCATCATCACATTCATCATAGAGACGCTCGCATGCTCGTTTGATTCCGGACTAAGGAACCCCTATAGCGTCAATTAGGAAGGTCCCGTCTTCTGCCTTGCCAATTACGCCATAGAAACGTTCCGTTAAGCTCACCTATGCTCTATTATCCTTCACCTATGCTTCACCCCTACCTTATTCTTGACCTCGCTTTCCATTCTCTAGGTAGTGCATGATTTCGTGACAAGGAATAATCGTAGCTTTTAATGTAAGGAACAATATCTTTCAAGCATGCCTTTGCGAGTATGCGATACTCATGTGAACGGCGACTTCTGAGAGAAATAGAATTTAAATAGTTGGATGTTGATCAGGCTTTGAGAAAAGACTGGAAGTTCTGGAAAGAATGCAAAATGAGATTTTCTATCTAAAGGTGGAAGGTGGCAGGGTGAAGTTCTGTACACCTCGTGAGAAATCGTCAAGGTCAAACTATACCACTGTAAGCCATACTTCCTATCTTGATTGCATGCTATTCAGGGCCTAGTTATCCTGGGAAGTAGGAAAGTTTCGGGACGAGGATCTGAAATAAAATTACGCCTTCTCTAATTGTAACTAGTCGAAAAACGACGAAGGCTGCAAATTTGTCAAAATGGCGACGAATTTGAACGAANAAGACTCTTTAAGTCGGAACCAGACTGCTGCAACTATCCTTCTAGGTTGTGCCAAGTTGAAAAATCGAGACTGGGTAGGGTTCCTTCGATTTGCTGCTTGTGTTTACTTTCCGGATTTTCTCACTGCCGTAGATGCATCTCCAAAATGCGAACTCAAGCATTAGTCGTGTAACCCACATGAAAGCAGGGGCATAGCAGAATTATTTGTGATTGCTACTGTGCTGCTCGTATTCTTCATATTTTAAGTGGTTGTAGCCAAAGTGAACTCTCAGCCTCACCTTCACGATGAAGCAGTGATACACTTGAAGGCACAGTTCACGATCAAAATGTTTCCCTAGGTCCCCAAATCCTGCTCAGCCGTCGTACACACCCAAAGGCGGACGAGTTCTCACGGCGTTGTAGAGGCTGTAGAGCATGCACCAATCGCACCATGTCGCACATGTTGCACGCAGGCAGCTTGCTGTAGCCAGCTGTACGCAGTGGCACACACATTTGGACAGCTCGTCTAGAACTCCTTCCATGCACTTTTTGTCGTCACATTTCCGTCCAACCACTGATTTTACTTTTTCTTGAAGTTACATTGCTCCAAATACGCCGATTATCGCGTTTTCTTCGCCCCTTTTGCACCACCCTGAACTATCATTTCCAATGTTCGTATAAAACTAGGTACCCCGAAATGATCGCGAACTGTTACTTTATCCATGCATTTATTAGGATTTTCACCTAATTGTTAATTGATGTTCCCAGAAAAAAAGGTCGAGATGAATTGATCAACCATTCCATTTTTAGGGAACCACTCATAAACCTGAGTCATACGATATCTACAATTTCAATCAACATGGTTCCCGATAAAATATGTTAAATAACTCTTAACATTTAGGAAAAACTGTTCAGAAGCCCCATCACAATCTATGGGATCACAGACTGTGATGAGGATGTGTTTTGAAAATGGAAGGTACCATTTGTTCAGAATGAGTTCCGGTTAGAAATGCGCTAATAGTTTGATAAGGAATAGACCCTATCTCCACTCGGCAACTGCCACTCGCTCATGAGATTCTAAGAAGGCTCGCATGGGCCCCTCTTACTCGTTCTAGAAGAATGGATTTAAGTCATTTGGAAATTAGAGTTTGAGTATTTTGCACGCTAATGGAACACCTTCAGTGAATGAAACAATTGAAGGCACAATTTACGATAATTTTGGGGTTTCCGTTTTTTATTCGAAAAGCGGAGGTACAGATCGGGAATAGATCATCGGTAGTGAAGAAACGAGAGAACTCGCCCATTTGGAGAACGATATGGCTGCTCAAAAGTAGGGAAAATGGAGGTTGGATGAGATTGCCATGACGGAAATAACATGGAATATGTGTTTGGACGAGATTTCAGTTATTGCAATTGCATAAAGAGCTGACTACATCAAGCCAGAATGTAAAGAACTGTCTTTCACTGTCGCTATGGGTCATGACAAGTTGTTTGAACTTTATGCATAGGTTCCCTTGTGATCGGTGCAGACTCTATTATGCCGGTGAAACTCGTCCGAGGATACACATGGGCCAATCTTTGAGCCTTTATAACTCCCTAAGTAGGTCGTTTTCGGTCCTAATAGTGCCAGATATGGTATACGCGGGGGCCTCAAGTTCATCCTGTGGGAGAACCTCAGAAACCACTTTTATCGTGAATTGTGCCTTTAATATTCATGGCTTTCCTAATGTCGAAGAGATTTGTACACATCCTTACTACTAGATCTCCTGCTCAAATGTAGTTCTTAAATGAATGTCAGTAAAGAACGCAGCGTTTCAAGCAGGCTGGGCGCTAAATATCGTTTTTGAACAGCTCACAAATAATGGCGTCGTGTCTCTGTGGTGGTAGTCAATGCATTAATGAGTGCAATCTTATGACATGAATGTCAAGTTATATAAAGAATCAGTTGAAGACATGGATTAATCTTTCATAGTTCCCTTTCGTGTGACTCTTGCTATGTTTTTGTGAAAATCGAATTTAAGGCAGTCGCTCGCTGGCTCTGAAACTGGAAGCGCGTTCCAAATGTACTATTCGGTAATACTGAAGTACAAAAACCTAGGCGTAGTTCATTTCATGGAGAGGCATTTGTGTGACGATAGCGATGTTTGTACTGCGCAGGTAAGGCTAACCAGTGCTGGCTGAGCCATGCTTACAAAACTGTCCAGTTTTGCAGATTATCAACTGCTTCAACGGATTACGGAAAAACTACTACCCATCAACTGCTCTGATTTACATGTCGAGTAAGGTTTATTAGCACTCAGAATTTTGATTCACGATGTATTCCTATACGTATCCTTATAGATATGTCCCCTGGATCCTCTACCGGAACTTCTTTGTCAGCGATAGGAGTGCGAGTAATGCCACCCAATGCTGTGATGCGTTCATTTGGTTTGGATTCTCCGAAGCAGTCTTTTCAGCTCTAGTTCTACTTCTATCCTGTCTTTAGTATGTTATCAATCCGATCTTGTCAAATATCTATATTTTTCTGAGTAGGTAATTAAACTGATGGTTGTTTACCACCGAATGTCGTTACGAGTATTTATTTTGAGTATTTTCCTTTTAAAGAGGTATGCTTTCAACTCAATCATCCATTTGATCATAGTCAGGTTTATCACTTATCCTGTGTCTGTTTTTCGTGACCGTTCTGTTTCTAAAGTTTACCGGTATTTGGAGATTTGTAGGTTCTCGGTACTGTTTGTTGTATTAAGAGCGTTGCATCATTTTCTGGCTAGGAGGAAAAAGAATTGTTGGATGAGAATTATAAATATCGCGGGACAATAAATTTCAAGAAACTAGCATGGAAAGTTGAACACATTTCGCTGATGGTTATTGGGCTGCCAGGTGTGGCACCTAGAGTGGCAATCCTAAACTTCTTCCATCGACTCAATAAGACGGACGTGCATTGTTGTCCATCCAGGATGCCGTTCGCTAACAGCTTCGCGGTTTGGCAAGGAGCGAGAAGGTAACAAGTCAATTAGTCTATTCTAGCACCATCATCAGCCGTCCGACTTTGTTCATCGTATATACCGACCTTCGACTCTGGCCGCTGATTCCTATTCTAATCTTCTTCCTATTCCACCTGCCTTATTCCTCCTTCACTCTCCAAAACACCTCAACGATCTTCCCCATCGAGCTACAGCCATGCGATCAAAATTGGCTTGAGCATGGAAGTGTAGGGTATCTAAGGAAGTTGGATCAATAGTCCTAAACAACTGCAAATCTACGGCGACGGCAGCATAGGAGGCGTACGTCAGGGAAGAACGGGGGNGGGGGAGGGTTCCAAGGCTATATATTCCCTTTCGGTAAGCGGAATGCACTTTCACAATCTTGATGGTGAAATATTTTGAGGATTTTAACGTCCCGTGAACATGTAGCACCGTAACCCCCTTATAACCGACCGTCCAGCCCTGTCGGCTTCACCCGGGGTACCTTTCCTTTGCGTCGTGTATGTGACGGGTGTTTTGGAGGCGCTTCAACGTGTGTTTGGATTACTGTGTCACACAATCACGGGACGTTCAAATCCGTTTTGTGTGAAATATATGTAACTCCTATTGGTGACTGCTAGAATTTTTGTAAACTGCCCGGGCTACTCGAAGTCGTGTACAGCGGTGAACTGCTTACGGGGAAATTGGATTATGGATCCTCAACTTCATGGCTATGAGTAAAACATTAGCAAATGGATTAAAAAGAAATGAAGACCGTGGGAATCCTGACAACCGAGTTGAACTGCTACAACTGCTTTTTGCACTACTGTGATCCTTGAAATGTTTTACTCGTAACACCGATATCGTCCTAACGAGCTCCAAGATTCACATAAGTGCAGATGATAGCAAGGGAAATGAAGTGAGTAAAGGTCCATATCTTTTGGTATCAATCCTGTTTCTGGTCGTATATCCTACGAGACTTGGTTCCGGTTAAACGGCCTCGGAGGGATGGGAAGCTTTTGACCCGGGCGAATATCGATACGATATTCAACTCATGGACCGTTTCTGTGATGGTGCACCGCTTGCCTCTACATCACCTCAGCTCATGGAAAATTGATGTATCCGAAATAATGTAGCGTAAGCATAGTGACTAATGAAACGTCGCGGCACAACTGAGCAAGGGCGCCACATACCCATAGCTGCGTATGTGGATACTGATAATTATGCAACGATGTTTCGTTTTTACTGGATATTATGACAGGAAGCATTAAAATCTTGCAAAGATAATTCATGTTGTAATTATTCGGGAAAACAATGTGCCCCACTGCTAGAGGAGGTGAATCAATTCCGAAGGCAATTATTGTTTTGCGCGCTTCACAAGTGAAGGACATCATGGTAAACAAAATGGGCGTATGTAAATAGTGATTGTTAATCTTCTTGCATACACTTTTTAAGATAATAAAGCGACAAGTGTTGTTTTTCGCGATAGTTTTGCAGAATAAATTGAGAGTTTTGAGAAGTGGGTAACTAAGGCCTACCAAGTCTAGTACCCTTACCCTTGACAACAAAAAAAAGAGCGACCTTTGGTAGTGCATTGGAGAGCAACTCATTTCTCCGTTAAGTGCTATGATAAGCATGGGAGAAAGCTACAATACTGGCTGCTTTCATAGTCCGCCGGCTGGCGCGCCGGCTGATGTAAAACGAATTAGTAACCCGGCCGGGGGGACGGAACATTCACCCAGAACTGGATGGACGCGGCAAACCGTGCGGCGAAATTCGTGGTGATTAAAACGACTCTGGCGCCTATTATTGGGGCACAAATTTGGAGAAGGATAGAGAAGTAGCATCAGCTGGCCCCATTTATCCAATCTACTTGAAACCCGTGCCCCAATGATAGGCGCCCAAGCCCTTTTAATCACCACGAATTTCGCCGCGCGGTTTGCCGCCTCCATCCAGTCCTGGGTGAATGTACCCTTACCCACCCGGCGTAAAGAATCTGACCGTTAAATAAAATGCAACGGACGTAGATTTCTTACACGAATTAATTCGTTTTATGTTAGCCGGCGCGCTGGCTCGCCGGCTTGCTGGCTTGCTCGCGCGCTGGCCGGTTGACTATGAATAATTCTTGGTCAACCAACGGTTCGCGATTAATCCGTCGCAAACCGTCGCATCGCCATACCTTTTCTTAAAGTACCCCGATCAAGTTGTAAGTAAGATCATCTAAAAGCACCACTCTGAGGAATCCGCATATATAATTGATTTCCGTTTTTCTCGAATTTTGTGCCTTCATTTTCAGGAAAAATGAAAAGTGAGTCTCTCTGCACCTAGGGCGTTACATGCTGATACATCAGCATTGTAAGCCCTCTATTTCCATTGAAAATTCTCAGCTTTCGCAATTCATGAAGCACTATATTCGAGAAGAGCATGAAGTCCCGATCATTTTGATATCCTGACATAATTTGGCACTTTCAGGTGAAAGCAGTTCGATTAGCCAGATTTGAGACATCTGCTACTTTCATTTATTTGAATGGAATACCGACGAATTCTTCGCTTTTCTTCTATTTCGCAGCTTCATTCTATGGGGAATGGAAGATTGACTAGCCGAGGTGTTGCCTGCGATTAGATAAACATCGAAAACACTTCGCTTCGATTAATAGATCCATTCCCAGCTTTCAAAAGTCACATATGGCCCTGAATTCAAAAAACATGAAGTAGTGCTCATTTTTTTATCCGCCATGGCAGCATTCCAACAGTCTAACTTCGATTTTTACCGCATAAGCTTAGCATTAGTCTCCAGAGCTAGATGCCGCTCTAGAAAATTTTCCAGCAAATTTTCTTCATAATGAGGAAATATAGTGTCATGTTATTTGTGGAAGGAAACTTTTGTAGAGCTACGACTGTGACGTTGAATCCAACGTGGTGGAATGGGCGGGCAGTTGTATGTTTGGATACAACTCTGTGGCACAGAAAAATCGCCGGGTTGCTGAGATTCATGCATTACCGTTCACTTCTAAAAAGGCAAAGGCTGCAACAGAGGTTAGAATATGAAGCACGGTTGCACCTTTAGAAATGGGGCAGGATCAATTTCATCCCAGGGGCTCGACGCGTGGTTTAGCGAACTACATAAAAATGGTATGCTTCGGGACAACGTTCTCAGTAATGAAATTTTCAGGCTCAAGTGAATACAGTCAGGTGGGAGCAAAACCTACATCAGCGTTAGTGGATAAATTCCAGGTCAATATAGTTCTAGTTGGCCTGGTAATCGAGAAACAAACTTGGTTGCGCAGTTGTATCTTGTTGAAATGCGTGGACAGCAGTAGTATGCGAATACAATCCCGGGTAAGAGTAGGCTCATTGTGAAAAAATTCGCATTCGTGACAAATTGACATAACATGGAAGTTTGAATTTCAGAGGACTCAAGCTCTCTCACACCATTTATGACATAGGAGATCCGTGCACGACTAACGAAGACTGCCAATGCGCTGGTTGCGTTTGTAGCAAAGATGAGGCTCTCTGTATCGCACCTTGAATGCTTTGTCAGTAAATCCCGTGCAATAAAAAAAAACATCGTTTTTCGAATGTTTGTTGTTCATGTCGTGCTTCAACCATTAGGTTGGGGAAAAGTATGTGCACGTTTTGCAATTTTTTTTCTAAATTTATTTTTTCCCCTCACAATAACTAACAATTAACAAATATATGCACCATCATTATCGACAAGGTATTGCTATTCATCAGGCAACTTGTGGTTCGTGCTTCCATAGAATTCTTGGGGTTTTGAGGAGGAAAACTGGTCAATGTACGTCTCGAGTTGATTCACATAATCGAACTTCTTATTTTTCGGATGGTTCGATAGCGACAGGAGCAGACGATAATCCGTTGGAGCCTTGTCTGATGAATACGGTGGGTGGGCCAGAACATGCCATCCCAGGCTCTGAAGCTATTTCTGGGCCTCCTTGGAAAGTGTGGGCGAGCACTGTCGTGGAGAAAATAGACTTTCCCCAGTTTCTCTTCTAGAGCTGCAATGCAATCCGGTTCACAGAACACACTGGGCTTCAGTGCTGACAGCGGAGTTTGGTGGTGGAAAGTCCCTGAACGATCCTTTCGAATGGCTTCAAACGCTTGGCATTGCCTTCTGAGGTAGGAAATCTGGATTGGAGGTCGGGATTTCATGCTCTACGCATCTAAGCCACTGGCGCTTCCTCGTGTGGTTAAAGCAGGGAACATGCTTCTCGTCGCCAGTGATTAAGTCTTCCAGCCATGCGAAGGTGCGTCGGAAAGTCATAAGTTCAGGCATTAGTCCCTCTCCATTTGGAGGTCGTGACCACCAAGATCACAAGTTATCCATCTCTCCGAATCTCCATGTCTTTTCAAGGCCTTGCAAATGGACAGCTGCTGTGTCGTGTTGGCTATGAACTCCTGTTTCAGCTCACGGGTACTGAACCTGGAATCCTCTTCGACCATTTTCAAAAGTGGTCGCTATTCAACTTAACTGGTCTCCC